TGTCGCCGACATGATGAGCTTTGGTGGTATCAGGTGAAGGCTACATAGACATGTTTCCAGTATCAAAGGATTTTATTTTGAAGGAGGACCACACGGCCCTAAAGGTGTTAAAGGGTTAATAATGTTTCGAACGCGGGGTGTGTGATAGACTTACCTCCACGTGGTTCGCCCTGGGCAACGTATACTCATACAGCAAAAAAGTCTATTAACTGGCAGTTGACTTCTGACTTCAAACTACCCTCACCCCATTTTATGTCATATTCGACTACTTTACGGTACTCACCTCACCTTTTTTCTACCTTTGTGTCTGTCTCTCTTACATCTTTGAATCACTCTTCTGTCTCCCCCCCCCCTCTCAACTTTTTCCACTTTGATGTTCCTTCCCCTCTGTGAAGCCTGAAGTCAACTAAAAGGCTAATGATAACTATCAAAATGCCTACCATTTGATATAAATAAATATGTTATGAACGCATTTTATAGTGAAGTAAGGCAAGTGAGGTTTATTTCTGACAATTTTAAACTTAACTACTGGATATATACCATAAAATGCTAAGTAAATTTTCAGCACATTGATTGTCAAAATGTGCACTTATTATTGAAACTTATAAAGGGGATTTTCTAGCTTAAACAAAAGATGAGTATATGGTAAAATGTGTCAAATTACATTGTCACTGTCTGGCAAAACTTGGATTTCAAAGTTGAAGTTTCCTTAATTTCATGGGATTATTGGCTACTTTAGGGCTACTAAGTGAATTATACTTACCAACTCCCAAGCGCTAAGATCTTGCTTCAGTGGTTTATTCGGAACAGGCCAGAGAAGAAACGGAGGAGTTATGGTCTCATGAGGACCATCTCCTGTGTTTATCGTCGGTCGATCTTGACACCAACATTCTGCAGACTTCCGCATATCCCTCTGAACTTGACTCATTCGCGGTAGATGTGATGCATCTGAAGACACTTTCAAATTGGACGAGGAAAGTTCAATTTTAATTTATTTTAATTGCTGCAATATCAACTGGAAAATATATCCATCAATGTAGGTTCACCATTTGAAGTAGTGTGAGATGTTTAATGTCATGGCCTATGGCAAGTTTAGAAGGTGACAATATTTAAGCTTTGAATTTATTAGGTTTCAAGCTTAATTAATTTCTATTTGAAATCAGTTCAATAACGGAGAAATGTTTAATAAATATTGAAGGGTAACTTTCTGTGGAGAAATTAATTTTAGGTAAGTACTAAAGCAGAGTTTGAGTGATAATAACCAGATGATGCAATAAACACACGAACTATTAATTATTTCTGCAAATGCTTCAGCATACTAACTCCTTCGTAAATAATTCCTGTGATGAGGGAAGGGGGAGGGGAGATATCTTCACACATGGACGGACCGTAATGACAATAACAAGGTTCCGACTTTCTCCAACCCCTCCCCATGTTAACATCTAATCACCTTCCTTTTTCTTTAGATACCCTTTATATCCAAGCCCCTATTCAGGTGAATTTACGAACGTTTAAGCTTTCACTTTCAATCACAATCAATCATTCGCAATCAATTCGTTCTGCTATCACCTCCTATAATCACTTTTACCTTCCATTAGCTTCGAGGACCTGATTTGTCCAACGGGTCCTATTGCTATGTCTACCTATGGAAAAGTGGTAATCATCAATCAAACTTTTTTAAAGATGGTCCAATCTAAATTTATCGTATTTGTAACTATCTCTTTTCTACTAATCAATTGATGATTATTCTTTTCTACCCTCTACACTTAGCACTGTTTCCTTTAGGCTTACAACATTGCAGTCTTTTGCGTTGCATATTGATAATCCACATATTCCTCCTAAACCTTCCACATATAAAATTCAAAGTTGCTCTCGTTGCGGAAATTTACTATACAGTGCATTCATTGTCAAACCGCAAATTGAAGGTATAAGAGGACACGTACAGTCAATATGCTTAAAAGTTCAGTTTTTTAAACCAACAAAATTTGTTGCAAATGGGTTACCCTTATTTTCTCAAAACAGACTCACTTTGAAATATTTCAATTTAGAAACACTATTACGACTGAAATTTTTTATCTTAGTTAATAAATAAACTTTATAAATTAACTTACTCAATCCTCCATGATTATTTTGGAAAACTTGGTTCTCCCACCTTTCGTATTGATCAATTTGGTTTGAAGGAACCTGCAAATGCTGTTGCTGGAACTGACAAGTCTCACAGAGTGCTACACCGGGGACACTTTGCGGCACCCAGAATCGGTTGTTGAAGTCAGTTGCTCCACAGCCAGCACATTCAGTTGTTTGGGTTAACGGATTTTGAGGTGGCATCTCATACGAAGCGGCTGTTTTTGAGAAAAGAGTTTTTTGTACAAAAAATTATTATCAGTATCACAAAAGGTGCATTTATAAAATCTTTGGAGTGTCGATAGTGATGAATATTCAAGAAATATCGGCTTTGGGAAAACAATACTTAAATCGAATTCGCTTGTCACGTTGAGAGATTGATGTGACAAAAGAAAATTTGTTAGCAGTATTGCTATATATTATAAAGTAAAAGGAAGTTATATTTTCTCAAGAATACTTCATTACTTTTCCTCTATTTAAATCCACTTTATTAGAACTATAATATAATTATATTAGGGCTGAACGCGCTGCACAATATAAATCGCCGCATTAAAATGAAAGCAGGAGTCTCTTTTTGACATGCTGTATTTTGATGCGCCCATATTTTATTGATAATTAGGACAAATTTCTCAGGAAATATTAGATTTTTTCAAACTCTAACGCAAACAGATATTGGTAAATTAGTGAATTTAGCATGATAATTCTTTCAGCTTGCTCGGAGGAGCTTGACGAACTCACCCCAAAAAATGGTCAGTAAACGATGTTGAGGTAACCGTTTTCCTCTTCTCTGGGTTCAGATATAACTGTTAAAAATGGAAATTCATTTACTTATGGGGAGAACAGATGGGAGCAAATTATGTCCTATTAAACAATGAGCGCTTGTTTCCATTTAGTTTATGATCTTAATGCCACTTCTAAGAGTTGCACTCCTCCATTTCTATTGTTTTAATCATTTTATACCTTTTTAGTAAGCCTCATGGGTATTTCGCCTACTATATATTACACAAATTCTAGCATATACTCTAGTGTTTCTGAAAAGGAGTTTTGTAAATTGAGGACACTTGTCATTTCTTGTTTCATACTTTGGAATTTATTATTGAAGGTATTAAATTTTTGGAATTAAATAGTTGAAATACGAAAATAAAGATTTTCCCTACTGATGATGTTATATTACCACCCTGGGACGTGCGATAGACTTACCTCCACGTGGTGCACCCTGGGTAACGTATATTCATGCGGCGAAAAAGTCTGTTGACTTGCAGTTGACTTCTCACTTCAAACTACCATCGCCTCACTCTATGCCATATTCGACTATTTTTACAGCACTCACCTCACCTTTGTTCTACCTTTGTGTTTGTCTCTTACATCTTTGAAACACTCTTCTGTTCCTCCCCCTCTCGACTTTTTTCAATTTGATGTTCCTTCCCCTCTGTAAGGTCTGACGTCAACTAAAGGGCTAATGATGACCATCAAGGCGCCTGCCATTTGATATAAATAAATAATATTACCACCCTTGAAACAGCTACTTCCTATTGGTCGAATTTATGATGGTTGAGTTCCCAGTGTGTGAGATTTACTACCAACATTGACATACTCGCCTCTCTTATTTGATTAAAACGATAAAATTTCTTTTATTCAAAGGATAAATTTATCAACTATAATGCTTCTGCTATTTTTATTGACAAGGTCAAGTTAAAGATCACGTCAAAGTTGCAAATTCTCCAACAGCTATTCGACTAATTGATAATCCTATTTATCTATATACCTTATCAAAACATGTGATAATCATTCACTCCATTTTTATCCACAAAAGCACA